CACGAACCGTGGTGTCTATTGACACCGCTTCATGATCGAAAGCGATTAGTCGCAGTCTAGGTGGAGTACAAGACGCACAGGTTGGTTAGAGTCTATTCTAGAGCTGCAACAATTTTTCTCGAAAGGGATGCTCTTGAATAGACAGAACACCTTTATAATTTCTATATAAAATTTCAAAAAAACATCCACAACAGCATTTCATCTTTGCCCAAGATCTGGCCCTCTTCTGCTTGTTCTGCTGGATGAAATGCCCTGTAGTCGGGTAACACAGCACATGTGAAACGGCAAAAACCGCGAAAAGTCAAACTGGGAAAAAAGCTTTTCCAAACGTCGCAAATTTCTCTCAAAGGCGGTGTCCGCGCTTTGTCCGTCAGTCCTGCGGCTGTACTGCTTGATCTTAATTATAAATACATTCCACGCTGGTCATATGGGTGGAGCCGATTGGATGAGTGCCCTTTGAAGGCATATGGCGCGATAATTCGGTATTCAGTCTAAATGCCAGGAGGGTGCTATATAGCCTGAAAATGGCGAAAAACCAAGTGAAAGGATGGAAAATCTCAGGGAAAGGCCTTTGTACCTCATGAGTCACAGCAATACAGGGTGACCAAAAAGTTCTGGCAATTTTTCGAAATACTTTGGTATCGTAAAAGTGCCATTTAATTAACTTAACCAGCGAACCTAAACTTTCGGAAATCTTCATTAGACCAGTAGCGATGACGGTGTACAGAGAAATCACAACATGTGTTCAGAATTGCCTCCTTTGCTTCCCAGATCGAAGCTCGCAGGATGCGTCGTCTGGTCGGTGCTGGTCGCTTGAAAAATGTGCTCTTCACCGACGAAAAATTCCCACGATCGAGCCTGTACACAACCACCAGAATTGTCTGTACTACTCAAGAAGGGTCAGCAGAAGACAACGGCAGCGAAACCCGTCGGCCATAGGCACTTTCCAGCCTCAGTCATGGTCTGGGCTGGGATCTGTGTCACCGGAAAACCTCCACTCGTCTTCATCGACCGTAACCTTAAAATCAATGCTGCTAACTATCAACAGTGCGTTCTTCGCGATGTACTGAAGCCATGGACGTCGCAGCACTTTGGTTCAGATGGATTTGTGCTTCAGCAAAACTGGGCTCCACTGCAGTCTGCCCAATACCTGCGAAGAGCTGTTTTCGGGATTTTGGGGCGAGGACATTTATCCTTCCAACTCGCCTGATCTGAACCCGATGGATTACTCCGTTTAGTCTATCTTGGAGCAGAAAATCTCAGGAATCCAATGCGTGACGGTGGATCATTTGAAAGCAGCATTACTGCGTGCTTGTGACGAAATTACAGTAGAAGAATGCGCGACCATTGTTGGACACTTCGAAAAGCGACTGAGCAAATGTATTGAGGTCAAAGGATGCGATTTTGAATACATGTTGTGATTTCTCTGTACACCGTTATTGCTACTGATTCAGTGAAGATTTCCGAAAGTTTAGTTCCGCTGATTAAAGGCAGTTGGCACGATAAATCGCTATACAGGTGTAGGATTTGTACAACTGGCTCAACAGAATTCCGTGACCTCGGACAGGCGCTGCGTGAAGCCTTTTCCAAGGAGGGTACCTCTATAACGCCCTATTGAGCAACAACTTTACGTCCCAAACGCCTTCCTTGCCCGCCCGCCCACAAACATGATTGGCAAGATGCGTACGGGAAACTCGTCCGAAATCGATTTACAAGTCACTGAGAACGGAGGCTTTTTCTTCGCCGGATTTTGACCGTTTCACTCCGTTCTTTCGCCATTTCCCCACTATACAGCGCCCTACTAGCATTTTAGGCTAAGTAGGAAACCATCGTGCCAACTGCCTTTCAAAGTTAATCAAATGGTTCTTCTATAATTCCAAAGTATTTCAAAAATCTGCCAGAACTTTTTGGTCACCCTGTAATTCGGACGAGTTTCCCGTACGCATCGTACGAATAAACGCTACGATAGATACGGCTGCACGTATGTACCCATACTATATCCTTGCAGCAGGTCGCTTCATGTCAATGCCTGCGCTTCATATTTTTTCGCGAATGAAGCAATACGAGTATCATTTGCGGTTGTCCATTTGTTGGTGGGCGGGCGCGGTGGGTGTCCGGGTCGGTATGTGTCAGTTTGATAGGGCCATATACGGGCACCCTCCCTGGAAGAAGCGCTGTGCAGCGCCTGCTCAGGGGCGCGACATTCCGTCCTGCCAGGCGTATTAATCCTACTCGACTTAGGGACTTATAGTGCCAACTGCCCTTACATTCCACGCTGATCATATGGGCGGGGTCGCTTGGATGCGTGCCCCTTAATCATCGACGCGTTCCTATTTTTAGGATGCCAGCAGGAAGGAACTTTACCTTCGCGATTTGCGCGCTACACGGCTTTAACTTTTTGTGTACTTTCTAATGATAATGTCGAACAGAGCGCGCCGAGCGTTTAGGATTCTTGAATGTGGGAACCTTTCGAATCGCCGGAGAAGGTCCTTGTATGTAGTTTACCGAGAGCGGTCTGTGCATCTGATAAAGCATGGAGAAATCGCTAGTAAATGTAATTATTCAGACCAAATTACCCTCGCTCCTCCTCCTCAGAGCACGTCGCACGTTGGGGATTCCCACCGACGTATTTGGTGCTGGAGGATGGGGAATGTATTGTTGATATTTCTTGGTTTTCCCTGTTTCTCTTTCGCTGTGTACCACCTCTCCTAGTTTTGTGGGTTTTTCTTTTCCTAGTGGGAAAAAAATGGAGAATTTTTAAGAGAAGAACCACGTAAAAAAGTATAAAGCGCGGGGAAATTTTAGGAATGATGGTAAGTATAAAGCGTGAAAATTTTAGGAAGATGGTAATTGGGCATGGGCAAGGGGGGTCGTACCAGAGAAGGGAATTTTGAGAGGAAGGAGATCATTTTTTGCAGTTTTTTCCTAGCGGCAGTACGTGTCCAGTTCTTGCTCCCCCTCCCCCCACCCCCACCTCGCTCGGTAGCTAGACGTGAGTATTGTTGAAAGAGTCGTACATGATGCAGCGATGGAAGGGGGGATGGGTGGGCGATTGACAAACAATCATTTATCCTCATCACCATAGCATGGGGGCCAAGTATTGAATATGTCCCTCCTAACGATGCATCACCATTCAGTTCCAAATTCTATTCAGCACCAAATTCGTCCGAATATCACCTAGGAGCTTCCCGGAATTCGCCCGGAAATTGGATTTTCCAACGCCCTCTCCCCTTCTTCCCACCCCTCAATGGTAACAGTGTTTGAGCTCGATAAAACGCTTCTAAACGCAGTAGTCAGCGATTCTACCGGTCACCAAAATCCTGAGAAATTATTGGCTGTAATCACCCTCCCCCCCTTACTAAACCTTGTCAGTGTTGAATTTTGGCTCCTGTTTCCTACTGAATTGCCGTGACTACAGTATTAATCGCAGTCATATTAATCGCAGTCATTTTCTTCGCTAAATCATTACCAAGCCGGCCACCGTCTCCCAGAGGGACTAGCCCAAAGGGCGGAACAGTTCCTAATGAACCGCCGCTCAGGGTTCTTCAATTCTGAGTTCCAATGATGTCATTTGAACGTTTAATTGGATGGGCGTGTCGAAATTGAAGGTCCTCCCTCTCATATTCGTTTGTCATCTATTTGAATAGAACACCTATGAATATTTAATGGCAACGGTGGTCTTTTTTGATGCCGCCACATTTCCTTGCCTTTCTCATGCTCAAATTTTCAAGAACGAATTTCTTTAATACCGTAATCGCCTTTTCTTAAAGGACACATTTCGACCAAATTCAATTATCCTGACGTATTATTTACAGGCTGTAGCGGTGGCAGCCAATGACAAAGGCAAATGAAGACACACGGACCGGCAGTCTTGCGGCACCGAATGACGGAAATCGGAAGATGTCCAGTGGTGGTTTGGTGCCGTCGTTGAATCGGCTACGAATACAGCAAAGCTTCAAAGCGGCCAGGCAAGTTCACTTCAGATTCCGTTTGTCTTTGAGCGTAGGTTAGGAGGTCCAAGTCGCGAACCTGCATTGTAAGTGGCGTCACGTGCGCGACATTTGCACCGGGTCCTTTTATGATTCAGCGTTGAAGGGCTATTACATGTTGAGTCAACTAGCTAGGAAATGCTAGCTAGTTTCCGCGCGTTTAGCGTGCATCTTTCATCCGACATTCGTTGTATTGTGATGTCAAATGGTGCCGGGTAGGCATTGAGTCGTTGGAGAATTTCTTCTAAAGAAGTCTCTCATTCAAGTCATAGTGTGCCTTTTGGGAGATCCACCTTGCGACGAGGCGCAAGAACTAGCTAGCGAATCCTTTCTAGTTAAGGCTGCGTTCAAAATTTGCGACAGCGTCCACTAGCGATCAATGGCGTCCGCCAGCGTTCCAAGCGTCCGGCAGCATCAGCGACTAGGAAAGTATAAATATCGATCTAGGTCTGCTAGCGTCTGCCAGCGTCTACCAGCGTGTGGGAGTGGAGAGTATTAGGAGCTAGGAGGGAAGCGAATTGCTGCTCGCTGGTGGGCCTTGTAGACGCTGACAGGGTCGATACCTGTCTTCCCTAGCATCCGGGACGCTGCCCGTCGCTGGTGGACGCTAGCAACGCTCGCAGACGCTGGCGAACCCAGATCGATATCTATACTGCCCTGTCGCTGACGCTGCTAGGCGATCGGAAGGCTGGTGGACGCTACTGGTCGCTGGTAGGCGCTACCGCACAGTATGAACGCAGCCTAACTCGGCATGCTGTAGCCCACGTGCCTTAAATTAATCGCCGTCGCAGCAACGTGAATCTCTTGCCCCCCTCGGATTATGGAATCTAGGGAAATAGGAATATTGCACACTTTAAAGGAGTACAACTGCTTTTTAAACTTGTCAACAAGCTTTCTGCAGCACCGTACGGCTCACCTAATCACCCGAGTTTTTGAGCCAGCCATGGCGAAGACCATTCTGCAAACGAGCAACCAAGCTAACCCGGGCCTACCCGATAATGCGGATGTTTCATGAGTCGACTCAGCGAACAGCAGATTGATATCATGGGAAAGCAGTTTTATTCGCTTATAGCCGACTCTGTGGAGAACATGGACCGACCAGAAGCGGTAGGTAGCTGGTTACTGTAGCACGAGAAGTGTGTAACATCACAGCAGGATCTTTCTTCTGAATAAGAATTTCTGCTCGGAATTTGGCATCGCGAATTTGGGTTGGCGACAATAACGTCGGGGGAGGGGCATTTGGTGGGATCTTTGTGGCAAGATGGGATTACTGTACTTGAAAACTTGTAGGAGCTCCTTCTCTGAAGGACTTAGGCAAAAGCTTTGCCTGTGTTGCGGTGACCCCAGTTTTGCACGAGGTGTCCTTCGAATGCACCCCTCCATGGTTATTAGCGCCGTTTGATCGATTTTTCTACAAAATAGTGATTTCAGTCACACACATGCTAAAGCGTTTTGGCGCAACTTCCTACGCGGCATTATGTCAGCTCGGTTTTCGCCCTGACTATTTTGCTCCACTAGCTGATGCCGCAATTGCAGAATGCGTCAAACTTGACGGCGGTGCACACAAGAGGTTTGTGTTATGCTTCAGATACGATTAGTGCATAAGTGCATATCGTAGCAACTCGAATGGAGATGTTAGGAGCGTGGAGATTGAGCCACAAGCTTCGTTTTCCTACACTGGTTGTTTACGCACTTGGAGTGCTTTAAATAGAAACCGCGCAAAAAAAAAAGCCTCTCATTCCATGCCGCCCCGCGAAGATTGCGATGATCTGCAACTACAATACACGTCTTGTTCCGGCTGGCGGATGCTGGTCGGCGCGGCCCGGCCGTTTCCAGCAATGGCTAGTGGGCAAGCCGTAGATGAATTTTGGAGAAAGGTCGTTTGTCTCGAACAACTAATTGGAATCATTTATTCGCGCCAAATTCTATTTTTCTCTTCAGCTTTCCGCCGTGAACATTGTTTGACCACAGGACCTGCATTATTCCGAGTATTCATAAGCAAAAGTGCGCAACTACGCTCGAGCTCCCAGAGTCCCAATCACCTGAAAAAGCCCACTTCTCGATTCACAACATGTTTTTTGCACTTTCAGTGCCTTGGCTGCCGCAGTTCTTTATTTCTCTGTGCTCTGGCCTTTCGTGCCGGGACCCCGCGATCAGTTCTAGTTGTCACGTAACCATCGTATTTAGTAACAAGGAACTTTCCACTACGCATGCGCGCTGGTTGTGCGTACTTACACGACTTCGCGCTACTGCTTTCCCTTTCACAAGTTGCGCTTTCCCAGTTGCCAGAGCAATCCGAGGCATTTCCGGGGATCCCTACATTAACCATCTACGCCCTTTATCCCCTGAGACGGAGTAGGCGTGGCTTTTGAGCACAGCATAGGACGGGTTACTCGTGGGATACTTCAATTTGAAACAACTGCCATCTTGTTCTGTGTTAGATGTAGAGCATGTTACGACATGTTCCAAAAAAATGAAAATATTTCACGAACACCAGGTAGGCCGCCGCGACTTAATTATCAAATAGAGTGGGGGGTACGTAGGCCACGCCTACCCAATCTCTGACGATTTCTGGTATAACTATTGTTTGCATTAGAGCTACAGTCCGGTTCGGCCTGCGTTGCGGATGAAGGCTGTCGCGCATCCCAAATTCTTTTCCTACCAGTTGTTTAAGCTAAGTGTCAACAACTGGTGAAAAACGGCTGATAAAGACGACATGATGCCGTCTCTCGCTTGCCGGAGGAAAAAAAAACGGGTCAGCGCCGCGTCAGACGCAGCCGAGATGACACACTCCATCATCCGCACGGAACTAGGCTATAGGTAACCGTCGAGTTTGTAGGCGGTGGCATTTGCTGTTGCACCCACTTCGAGTTCACTCACCAGTGCATACTCATTTAAATCATCAAATTAATCTGAGTTGAAATTCGAACATTTTTAGGTGTGAGACGCTTCTGGCATGGAGTCAACTGATCAGCGCTATTTTCACATCTGTTCGAGACGGATATTACAGTCGTGTACGCTATCAGAGGCGGTAAGTTTTCAATACTTATTACTCATCTAAAATTCTCATCGTTTTCGCTTTGGAGGCCCACTCCATGGTAACGGGAAAGGTAGAGGCAAGGCATTGGTGTTCCGCTGACTCAGACACAGGGAAGAGGAAGGAAACAGGAGGAGTGTACAAGTGAGATTGTTCCCTAACTCCGCCCCTGCCATCAACGCGGAATGTGCCTCGTTAACATTTTTCAATTGAATTTTCACCTGAAGGTGAGAAGTTCCGGACGTGTGGTAGTTGCAAGTGGTCTATCCGTTGGACGGATACAATTTCCACGGATGGACTGCAAGCAGGGTACGCCATCGTTGTGATCATCACAGGGGGGGTCGTATTTGACCGCGAGGGAGGGGGGGTCGTATTTGGTCAGAGAAAAATTTTTTTGATAGTTGATTTCTCTTGTTTCAC